CAGTTAACTCGGATTCAGACCATTTGAAATTCTAATACGTAACAGATTTCGTAATAAAATATAAAATATTTCCTTGTTATTGCTATCATGGATTTTAATTGTTCTCTTTTAGCACTCAATCAGAAGTTGAAGTTCTGTGTCGTTGAGTGTCCGGTCAGATCTATTGATTACAAGGTTAGGCTGAGCTGCATTGTTATGTTTTACTTTAAGTTGAATAAAGGCCTCAACTTTGCCGTCAACCACAAAACAGTTCCATGCCTAGAGTTCAATTGTACCTAGAAGATCTAGCCAGAAGACTTAGTGACCCACTACATTAAAGAACAAAAGACCTCCTCTAACTCAAACATCCTCCAGCTACAGAAAGAAGAACTTCACGACATCAACCAACAGACTTTTATTACAGGTAACTACAACAAAATGTGGTTTCCCGAAGTTCCCAAAAACTATATTTTAAATAACTTTTATAAAGAACTCTCGAATAAGACTATTAATATAGTCAACCAATCCCGTAAACTGAAAAGTAACCTCACAAGTAACGAGATCAAATCCATTTATAATCTGAAAAAGACACTAACATTAAAATTCTAAAAGCTGATAAAGACAACACCACTGTAATCACGAACAACTCAGAATACATCGACAAAATGAACGGCATCCTTTCCGATAAAAAGAAATTCAAAGCCATCCCAAACAACCCAACAAACAAACGAAAAACAACTAAACAAAACTTTATTACAAATGGAAAAAAAAAGATAATTTAATTACTGACGATCTTTATTTTTATCCACGTAAAACTCTATGGCATTCCTAAACCACACAAACCGGACTGCCCCCTACGACCTATACTGTCCACGTATGATTCCTTCAACTACAATCTTGACCAAGAACATTTATAACTTTCGAACATTACAAACCATTTAACTTCAGTGGATTCACATCAGACATTAGTACTTTTATGAAAATATTACCTAACTTCATCACTATTATTATTGTATGTAACATCTGCAGGTTCATTTTTTCAAGATGCCATCTTTTTCAAATATACACTAAACCAACTAAATTATAAAGCCTTAATGATTAGTTTTGATGTCGTGTCACTCTTCACCAAAGTCCCGCCGATGAAGCTTGCAATAGCGCACTTGACCTCTTCATTAATGACCCCAACAAATTAATCCACATCCCCAGCACACTTTTTACTTCTCTTTTAGAATTTACAACAACTAAAACCAACTTCGTTTTCAACAACGAATATTTCCTCCAAATAAATGGTTTAAGTATGGACAATCCATAGAACACGAAAACAATAAACAGTTGTATTTTCTTAACCTCAACATTATTAGATCGGACGCACAGTTTAAAATCAAATTCACCGTAAGAACACACACATCGGCCTCTACATCTCATGGAATTCCGCTCATGACACCACACACAAAAAACTCATAAACACAGCCACAAAACTCTGTTCAACGGACTACACAGATGAATAAATTAACCACATAAAGCATTCCTTCATTCACACCAACAAATTTCCACCAGCTATTGTTGAAAAACTCTCCAATATTCACCACAACAAAACTCAACTCACGAACAAAATTGACACTAACAAACATAACAACAGTACATTACACTGCAGCTTACCTTTTGTCCCTAAAACCAGCTCAAGAATAATCCACACTTGGAGAAAACTAGCCATTAAACACAAAATTCCTGTCAACGTCAAATTCTCTCAAAAACCCGACCCTAAATTAAAATCATTACTAAACAAAAATTATTTAGAATCACACAATACCAACGTCGTTTACAAAATAATAGTCAATAACTGCCCATAATTCTACATCGGAGAAATAGGAAGAAAATTGGAAACCAGATTCACAGAACACAATAA